AAAATTTTGAAGTATTTTGAAACATTTTGCGTACTATCGTTTAGAGGTTAACATATATTTTTTAATTTAAATTAAAATCAACTCAATAAGTTAATTAATTTAATACTATTGTATTTAAAATTTAAATATTTAAATTTTAATTATTAATTTAGTATTTAATATTTAATTATTAATAAATTTGGATGCAATCTTATCTTAAAATATTCATTCTAACAGTACTAACCGTTGAAAATTAAATTGACAATTGAGTTGGATGGAATCTTCTTTGAATATTCATTTTTTTTTCTCTTCATTATTTCTAATTTTTATTCCTATTTCTGAAATTGCCATTGGCATTCATTGAGTATTCCATTTGTTTATAATTTTGAATTAACTAACAAACAACATAACAGTAAATAACATGAAAAACATTTTTGTAGTGTTCTAAGAAGGCACTCTAAAATCTAAATTATAGTTTATAATTTATTTAGTGATTCTATCTCTAAATTTTAAAAATCTAAATTGTTAACTTATCTAAATCTAATGCTAATCCAATCTGTTAAATTAATCATTAGCACTTTATAACATGGGTGACACTATGACTATAGTTAATGTAAGGGTTATGGTGCCTGGCATCGTTGATGCAGTGACAAGGTTTAAAATAAATGTAAAGAATTCGCTTCCAATCATAAACAAAAGCATGTGATAAGTTGATTCTTGTGCATTTATAAATACTGTTTGTTAATAGTAACTTGTAATCATAATAATTTGCCTCTGTCACTCCATAAAATAACATTGTTTTATTATTATTATACAATATAATATAACAAACCAGGGGTGGGCAAACTGGCCTGCAGAGATATTTTATGCAGCCTGCTATTTAAGTAAGTATGCAGCCCTTCAAAGGTATAATAATTCTCAATGCGGCCCTCACAGCAAGAAGTTTGCCCACTCCTGTAATAAACGAATAACCGAAACAAATAGATGGCAGGCAATATAGCTTTATAATGTAAAATTAAATTGTACTAGTTAATTTTAAGAAATATTTGAGTTTGAACATCACCTTTCATATTCTATTTTCAAAAAACATTGATCCATTATATATATAATATCAAATTTATGATAACTGTATTCATATTAGATTATAATGTCTGTATCTTTATTAACTTGTTAATTAACTAGTAGATTAGATTACGCACATTTGAATGAACTTACTCTGTTCGACTGTGCCATACATTGATTGATTAAAGTCGTGATTAAAATGAAGAGATATTTATCATCTGCTTGAATTACAGTTATTGTTCATAATTCTTTGTTTATGTTATTTATTGAAAACAGTAATAAAAGTTATAATTTTTTATTTTATATTTTTTAGGTAATTTTATAGATGGAATTTGCAGCATTTCTGAGAGAAAAGTTGCTTATATATGAATCAGGTTACTAAAAATCTTACTCAATGAATTTAAATATTTTATATACACATGTCAGAACTAACAAACCAGAGAGAGGTGACTATATTACTGACTTGTTATGAGATTTATACTATGGAAATGAAAGTAGTAAAGTTGAGAGAATAAAGCGTTCATGATTGTTTGTTGGCCCAATGAAGAATTAAGCATGGTGAAAATGTTTGAATTGACTTTCTAACTTGAATGAAATACATCCAAAAAGACATTCAGAATTTAACTAAGGGGTTTTAGGTGTTTTTGCATACCTACAAAGGTCTAGGAATAACCTAGAGAGAGAATGTGTGTGCATCTGTTCATACAATGCCCTGAGTGGAGATGTAGTGTAAAGAACATCTGTTTCTACTTTGTTTTCTTTAGTTAAAATTATTTTTAAATGTTCCACACTGATCTAGAATACGTCGATAGATGTTTTGAAAATGATTTTGCAATGCTGGATGAAAGTCCACTAAGCATTGTTGAGGAAGAGGTCTTGAACAATTTGAAGTTATTTCATGACCTCATACTTGATTCAAATGTCTCAACTTGCAGAGGTTGTAATTTTTGTTGTAATAATCATTTTTTCGTAAATGATTGAAGATTATATTGCTTTTATTTCACGAAATTACGTTTAATTAAATATTTGTATTATTCATTTGAACACTCGAATGATGTGATGCAGAGTTGTTGAAGATGTTCAAAGAAGGTGACCTGTCCCTTAGGAATCTCGTGGTTTTTCTAAGTTCATTCATATTCTGCAACGATGAGGTTGGTTGGGCCATATTTCCACATTCAGAGTCATAACTCTGTATTCATGTACTGATTCATGAAGATGTTTCTTTATGTCTCAATCTTGCAACACAGATTGACCCACACTTTAAATTTATGCTTATCACATTCATGAAGTATGGCTCTCTAACTGTTTTATTCTTTTTACATTTTTGGGCATTCATTAGTGCGCATGAACAATATATATATATATATATATATAAATATATATATATATATATATATATGTAAATGTGCTGGCCGCATTTTGACGTGCTCCGTATTTTTTCTTAATTTCATAGTTTAAAATCGAGTATTTTGTTTAAATATTAATTTCATTTGATAGAGAAAATTTTGACGAATTTAATGATATAATTTGTTAGCGTTAATTGTTTGAAGTTAATTTTTTCTCAATTAATTTAAGTTAAGTTGATTTAATTGTAAATTCTTGTTTAATCGACAATAGAAGGAATTTAATTTTGTAAACGTTATAGGATAGATAACCTGTATTGTTTTATCAGACTATCAGATATAGTGACATATTTTACTGTTGAATATGTCGAAAGATAAATGCAACAAATGCAAAGTTAAAATCAAAGAAAGTAACAAAGAGTTAATTTGTTGTGGCATATGTGGTGACGGCTACCACATCAAATGTATTCCGACCGATGCTCAAGTCTTGGCAGCAGTAGTATCCGATCCAAATTTATTTTGGCTCTGCAATAGCTGCGTTAAAGACATTAAAGAAGGTTTTAAAAAGATTTGTGATCTGCAAAAATCCCTAAATGAAATAATCTGTAACCAAGATAAGCTTACTGATGAGCAAAGTTCTTTTCGTCGTGAGTTGGCTTCAATTGACGCAAAGTTAAGCGAAATGGCCAACAAAATTGATGAATTTGATAAGTTGGTAACAAATGTAAACACACAGATTAAAGATGTTAAAGGGGGTTTGAAAAAGAATTGGACTGAAGTTGTAAAGGGAACCATCAAAGAAGAAGTTAAATCGACTACGGTGGCTCTGAACAATGTCGTCAAATCAATTAAAAACAACGTCGAAACAATAAACCGTGAGTGCAATGTTGTGTTATTTAGGCTCAGTGAAGCTGAAACTAACTCTGCTGATGCTCGCAATGATAAAAAAATTGTTATGAATTTGCTTTCAGTCATTACAAATGATGAAATCAAGGAAAGTGATATTAAGAAAATGTACAGAATTGGCAAAAAAGGTGACAACCCACGTCCGATGTTGATCGAGTTTAAAGAAAAGTCTATGAAAAACATGATAATGGAAAATCGTGTGAGGATGAAACAATTGAGTATTGAGTGATGAATTAAAAAATGTAAGCATAAGCCATGACTTCACTAAAGAACAGCGTGAGAAATGTAAAAAACTGGTAACTGAAGCAAAAGATAAACAGAAACAGGAGTCGGAGGAATTTTTGTACAGGGTGAAGGGAGATCCGTCAAATTTGAGAATAATAAAAATACAGAAATATTCAACAAAATACTAAAGCATACTAGCTCTATGGTTTTCAACTCTTCTGGTAATGTCAATAAAATTAAGGTGGGTCTGTTAAACATTAGATCTTTGGGTCCAAATGTTGATGATGTTCATGGGCTGCTCAATGATGGCTTGGATGTTTTGATGCTTACAGAAACTTGGCATAAATCATCTGATAATATTTGTCTTAGGTTGGCAAAACCACGTGATTTTAGTTTTTTGGAACAAGTTAGGTTAAATGATCCTGGGCATGGTGGTTTGGTAACGTATTTCAGAAACCACTTTAAATGTGTAAAAATTCCATTGCCAGTGATAATTACATTTGAAGCGATATGTTTGAAATTGACGTTACGGAAAACTTCAGTAATTTTTTTGGTGATTTATAGGCCAGGTTCTGCTCCTCCTGCTAAATTATTTTTTGAAGAATTAATTTTAGTTTTAGAACAAATCACACTTTTATGTTGCAGTATTGTAGTTGCAGGTGACTTCAACATACACTTAGAAACTTCGTCAGATATATATGCAACAGCCCTTGCTGATATTTTCTCTAGTTTTGATCTTGTCAATAGAATTAATCAGTCTACCCATGTGCTTGGTGGTACCCTGGATTTGATTGTCACATCGGATGGTTTTTTATTCGAAGATATATTGGTGTACCCATCTGGTATCTATTCAGATCATGGTTTAGTAACTGGTCAATTTTTAATCAATCCGACTCCAGTCATTTTCAAGAAATCGTGGATCAGATCCTGGAAACGAGTGGATAAAAAACGTCTGACTGAGCTTTTTAGGTGCTCACCTATCTCGAAACATTATGGTCAGGATGATGATGTCGAATTGGGTTTTAAAATATTCAATGAAGAGCTTTTAAAAATTGCTGACGATGTTGCTCCACTTCATGAAATTCGATGGAAACATGTCCCGACTGCCCCATGGTTTGACAGTGACTGCAAAAAGGCTAAGCAAATGTTTCGAAAAAAAGAAAGAAGGTTCAGAACTACTGGTTGTTATAATGATAAAGTTGATTGGGTACTGGCAATGAAACAAAAGAATGTTTGTTACTCAGTGAAACGAAGGAGTTTTTGGTTCGCGAAAACATGTCAATTTAAAAATAATTCCAAATACTTATGGCAAACGACTAATGAATTATTAGGAAAAGAGACAAGTGTTGAAAATGAAGTTGGTTCAATGCATAGCGCTGATGATTTTAAAAAATTTTTTGCTGACAAGGTGAAAGTGACCGAAAAGTCAACTGAATGTTTTAATTTTCCAGTTATTTCTACTAATACTAATATTATGTTTCCACTCTAATCGTTTCCAGTGTTGACTGAAGAACAGATATCTAAAGTTGTTAATTCGTCACCTACGAAGTCATGCTCACTCGACCCAATACCGACGCATGTATTCAAAGACTGTTTTATTGTTTACTTAACGGACTTAATCAACATGTGCTTAACGAAGGGTGTAATGCCACAGGTTTGCAAACATGCAATTGTCACGCCAATTCTAAAGAAGACAGGATTAGATAAATCAGATCTGATAAACTATAGGCCGGTGTCAAATTTGTCTTTCGTTTCTAAAATTATTGAACGTTCCGTTGAGTTAGTTTTAAATAATCATATAAATAAAAATGGTATTTGGCCTTCGCATCAATCTGGATACAGAAGGTTTCATTCGACCGAAACAGCTCTATCGGATATATTCTCTCATGTTTATTCAGCAGTTAATGTACAAAAAGTAACTTTGTTGACATTCCTGGACATGAGTTCGGCGTTCGATACTGTGAATCATAAAATCCTGCTGGACAGACTGAAATATTGTTATGGTTTAAATAAGATTGCGTTAGCGTGGTTCGAATCATTTCTTACTGGTCGGACTCGGAACCAATGAAACTTACGTCAGGGGTGCCTCAAGGATCTGTTTTTGGACCGATTCTTTTTAATTTGTACGTTACAGAGATATTGAATTTACTGAATAAAGATGGTTATTATTGCCATGGGTACGCAGATGACATGCAGATTTGCGTTTCATGTTTCCCAGATGAGATGCCTACCGTATTAGAGAAACTGACAAAAACTATATCTGATGTCGACTCGTGGCTGGGTCAAAGTAGGCTAAAGTTGAATCAGACTAAGACTCAGTTCATGTTGGCTGGTACATGGCAACAAACGTCAACAAATCTGGTCGCTGATCAAAGAGTTCGTCAGCAAGCCTCGCAAGTTCTGGAACGATGTCCGGCTGTCCTGGTAAAGATTCTGGCGTATCTTCGCCTGTCCAGGTTTGGACAAGCAACTCGGTCGACTCGTCGCTACTTCGTGATGGTGCTTCTGTTGGCTTCCCTATGGAATCGTCTTCTGCGATGTCTTCAGGCTCAACCAGTTCCGCAATCACCTTTTGATGCGCCGGAGAATGTCGCCTCAGCTGTTGTTTTACCGGTCGTGCATCCTGAGTATCAATCTTATGAAAAACTCCTTTTGCAGCACCTATTTCCCCACTCGCACAGCTGAATCTGTCTGAGAAACTTTTAAGTATTTGAATCAACTCTTTTCTCGCTTTTTTAGAAATATCTTTTACTAATCCATCAACCATACCTGTAACTTCTGTTAGATTCTCATATGCTAGACGATCAACTGATTTTTTTGCTTCCACAGCCGATGATAAATCTGGCAATCGCGTTCCCCGGTTTATCACCCTCGGTTGATCGTTGACATTCAAGATCCTAACACACTGTCCTTCATATTTTATAGACAGTAACGTTCTAGCTACATATACACCCGATTCTATTTGTCTGTTTTTCGAACACATAAATTCGGTCGATTCCAACTTGGACGGCTGGCGAACAATCATCTTTGCTGGCACGTCTAATTCAGTCCGCGCAGGGATGCGCACTTCTGCGTGAGCTTCAATACGACAAAGCTTCCTGCATGAAAAATGTTTAATAACTAATTTCATCGTTCTATTTTGTTACCCACGGCGATTTTTCCTTTGCCAAACTTCCACAAGATGTGATTGTTCCTGAGCCAATCTAAACCTAAAACAATTTCTGAAACATGATCAGACACCAATACCAACGCTGATTTGGAATAATCATCAACTTTAATTTGCAACTTCATTTCTCCTTTGACTGGAATTTCTGTGTTGTTGGCAGCTTTCAATCTCTTTTCCGTCGGTCTGACCTTTGTGATATCAACCATAGACGTTGGAACAATGGATACACTACTGCCACTATCAAGTAAACCTAATCTTCTTTTGCCATTAATTGTGATTGTTGGCAGATACATGACACGATCGCTGCTTTCAATTGACTTGTGCTGCTTGTCATTCTTTTCTGCGGGCACTCCTCACAAAATGACCTGTCTTTCCACATTTGTAACAACCTTTGAAATTCACTTGACTATAAGTTTGAGATTTGCAGGTCTCATTCTTCTGAGGACATTCGACTGCAAGATGACCTGGCTTCTTACAATTGAAACAAATTTTTTCTCGCTCAACTCGGGATACCGTTGGCTGCGCTCTTTTATTTCTGAGTTCTTCGAATGACTTTTGAAGGAACGCAATCTGTCGTACCATCGACTCCATGTTTTCTGCTCCTGCTTGTAAATCTTTAACCTGCGGGTTAAACCTGTGTGATGAATCTACCACCATCTTTGAAACTTCAAGACGCTGTGCAAACCTAAGAGCATCGTCAATGTTCTTTGGTTCTTTTTCCCTAACCTTTAACTCTAATTCAGCATTATCGAGGGCTGACAAGAAAAAGTTCCTAGCTAGATGTGTAGCTAATCTTGACTGCTCTCCTGGATAGGCTAATGACATGAGTCTTTTAGTAACCATCGACAACTCTCATAACGACTCACCAGGTTTTCGACGAAGAATCTGTAATTTGTACCTGTATGACTCTTCATGACCTCTTGTTCCAAAACGATCTTCTAGCTTAGATACCAGCCCTTGGTAACCTAAACCTGTTAAATCCCAGAGAACCTGTGAAGCTTCAATTATTGTACCTGGCACATATCTCAAACTTTTCTAAGAAAGTTTTGAGACAACCGGTGCCATCAAATCTGTCAGGTCGAAGCAATTCGCGACGACAAAAGTCGTTGTCACGCTCGGCACCTATTCGCGATTGATGAACCTGAGACTTCACACCAGTTGAATGAAGCGGTTCCCGACTGTCACACGTCGACTCGTGTTCAACTGTGTCTCTCTCTCGCTCGGTCGCTCTGCACCTGTTGCTGTTACCTAAAATTTTATTTCGCCGTCGATCGTGTTCGGTTTTTCTAATGATTGACGCTGATCTACTGGACGCTAATCGCAGCTCATTCAGTCCGAACTCCTGCAACTTTGGATTACCCTGGCACCTAAAACCTGAAATATCCTGTGTGGGGATAAACCTGTTACCTAAATTGTTCGCTAAAAAATCAATGCGCGGCTTTTCTTCGTACCTGTCAACAATTTCAAAACGATTGTTGTTTAAAACAATTTCATTTTGTTGGCTGGCGGGCGTTGAAAGCTGCTCGAGGTTGATTTTCGATCCTCCTTCGGTTCCTGTGACCTAAAACTTAAAAAAGTTTCATGTTGTCGAACATGGCACCTGTCACCTAAAAAATTTGGAGAATCACCTTGGCTCCTGCTGCACCTAAAACCTGTAATGTTTGAAAAAGAAGCCCCACGTTGGGCGCCAATTGTAGATTTTCGCCGGGCGACATCCGAATTCCGGTCCCGAACCGCGTCCGCATACGAATATCCACCCGAGCCTTCGCTTCGGCAGAGTCTTTCCTGGCCGGGATCCGCCACTCTACAATAGATCCTCTCAGGGTCTGAAAACACGGGCCGTGCGGAAGTTTGTTCGCGCCCTGCTTGTTGACTAGAGACGCCGACCTCGTCAACTATCAGCAAGTCTTCTTCAACATCCATTATTTTAGGTAGAATTATTAAACCGAGCCAAATTTTAAGTGTACACTTCTTTTATTTAATAAAAGACAAAATAACAAACAAAATAGTACAAATCAAACCTCTGTCTTTATTAAAAAAAAACGATAAATCCAAAATTAATCTATTAATAATATAACTATCTGGCAGACCAAACCAAGCTAGAAACAAAATCTAAAATAAAAATAAACGACCAGCTCTCTATATCTCAACTCGCGGCCTTTTATGTGTATCTACCGCCCTATCCACATAACGCTTTCTATATCATAGAAAATTCTATACTCACATCTATACTCTTTTCCTATACTCAGAACAGCGCGTAGCACGCATCGCATATATTGCTATACTCCCTATATACAAAACAGCACAGCATCGTCGCATATATAGCATATCAAATAACAAGATATACATGCATAGATTGTCTATTAAAATATATAGATATATACAGGCGGCAAGCCTCAAAGACGCAATCATTATCATCACAATCGTCACAATTTCACAAAATATACAGGCGGCATATTTCAATCGCGCAATCATTATCATCACAATCGTCACAACTTCACATATATATATATATATATATATATATATATATATATATATATATATATATATATAATTTCAGAGCCATAGATTTTCCAAATAAACTGTTAGAAAATAAGGATGTGCAGAACAGGGCGACTAAAGTGGTAATGAGTTGTTGGAAGTTGTCATGTGACTCCAGTTATTAGAGATTTGCACTGGTTACTGCTGGAAAAAAGAATCGCTTTCAAAATCTGCATTTCAATGTTCAAACGTTTAATCGGTCTGGCGCCATTTTAGTTTACGGAGTTGTTCACATTCAAGAATTCGACTGCTCATGGCATTGTCTTGCTTGAGATCAAACATTCAAAATTACTTAACAGTTCCGGCGCCAGAATTGAAGATTGGGTCACGAAACTTTGCTTGCTGTGTGTGGGTCGCAAATGCTGCAGTTTAAAATGGAATTGAAGACATAGCTGTTTTGCCAATTGAAAACAGCTGTTTTGAACTGTGAACTGTTGCACGATAAATTTTGAGGGGTGATGTTTTACTGTTTGTTTGGTGACAACTGAATATTTGTAACATGTATGTTGTAAGATACATTTTAGTGGTTGATGTATGTTGGGTGACGATGACGGAACACTTATGAAAATTTTCCATTTTGGACTGTTTCATTTATCATTATATTATTTCCTTCATTAATTCTGTTTTTATTTGTTAATTTACTTATTTGTATTTTGATTTATATGGAATAGTGTTTGTAAGTGTATGCGTATTGCGGTTGCGTGTTTGTGTGTATGTACAGTGTATATATATATATTGTTAAATTTTGTTTCTCAAGATGGATTATGTGGTCTGATGTTGCGGATTGAACACTTGTAGTATGAGTAGATATGTATGAGGTGAATATGGGTAGATGGATACATTATTATTATTGAATCATAAGTAATTAAGTAGCTATTGTATATGAATGCTTTTGTTATGTATTGTGTGTGTGTGTGTCTGTGTGTGTGTGATGTGTGTGTATGTGGTGTGTGTGTAATTGTATGAGTTGTCTTTAATGAAGATGAATGGTATGTGTATGTAGGACTTTGAATAATTGGGAATTTCTGATGGAACATTTGGCAAGTGTTTATGAATGGATTTTAATGGTTTGGTATGATTGTAATACTTCCGAATGATATGGATCAAGTTGATGCTACTTGTCGGTTTTCATCATCCTGTACATTGCATGGTGGGGAATTGTGTTTGTTATAAAGGTCATACAAGCATGTCGATGTGTGGTTGTGTATGAATGGTGTTGGATCAATTGTATTTGTTCGCATTTTGTTAAGTTGGTTGGTTACTTTTATATTTATTTGCTGGTAGTTTTGTTGGTGGATGGTTATTATGTATTGTTTCTTTTATTTATTTTATTAATTTAATTATTTTATTTTTATTTTATTTTTTAAATTTTTGTTTATTTATTTTTTTTATTTTTTTTGTTATCATTCAAGCTGTCATTTTGTTACTCTTTGTCAGATAGCTACATATAGTGATTTCTTAAAGTGCGCTATTACAAGTTTTTTATAATATTAATAATTATAATATTATATATACTGTTTGTGTTGTGTGGAGATGTACCTAATATATTATATATATTATGTTTTGAAATTATAAGGCAGGGCGTTCGATCATGCAACAACTTGTTCACATTCACTCCTGCAGCTCTTATGTTTTACTTCTCTCTATGCAAGGTTTTTTCAAATTTATTCAAATTTATTTTATCTTTTTTATTTGTTTTATTCACTATTGTTTTCTGTTGTATCGATGTTGGTGATTGTCATTTGCACGCTGTTTCTGCTCGCTAATGTAGGTGGGTCTGTTCAAAGTTGTCCATTCCTTAGTTACTGTTGATGGCTGTAGAGTGTGGTGCATTTGTTGGGAGTGTTGAATGAATTGTAATTGTGCTGGTTGAGTTGAGACCTGCTGTCGGCAATCTATCATTATCATCTGATCATTAGTTAATGTTACCAACTAACGTTAAATAATATAAATTTTCATCCTTCAGGGCTTGTATTATTTCCATATTGCATAGTTTGATGAAAATAATCCTGAAAGATTAACTATTTTTCAAACAACTTGAAAATGATTCGTTAGATTCAGGAGCTTATCATTTGTTCAGCTTCAACCTCATTGATCGAGTACTCAACACATTGAATAAACTTGGAACTGATTATAAACCTGGTTTGATTTCTAATTCTAATTTGTTCTTATGGTCTGGAAATTTTCTGACCATGTTTTTGTGCAGAGGCTGGTGTTGAAGATAATACAGTGGAGAAGAATAAGAGGAAGAAGTGCATACAAACTTCAAAAAGAAAAAAGAAGATGAAGATGGACGAGGATATCTCTGCAAATGAGCAACGGGTTGGTTCGCTAATTAGTTACTGGTTGGCTGGCTGGCTGGTTGGTTGTTTGTTGGCTGGTTTGGTTGATTGGGTCAGTCAGTTGTCTCAGTTACTGCTTGATTTTGTGATATAAGCTTTCAAACTGCTCAATGAAATACAGTTAAAGGTTAAATGCCATACTGCTAGCACTGAGTAGGTTGAAATTTGTCGTTGAATTATAGGAGGAAGAGGCAGACGACGAAGATGGTTCAGTTGAAGTGCTGGCTGCTCTCAAAGTACTCATGAAGGTCGGGTGTTTTTTTTTTTTATTTCCAGAACATTTCGTATGCAACAAACGATATTTGTTCTATTCAGCATTATTTTATAATAATAGAAATGAAAATTAACAATTTTTTTTGATGTTTTTCTTGTTTTTAAGAATATTTTTTATTTTGTTATGGCTCATGTTATTTTTGTCGTGACTACAATATCTCATTCGCATTAACTGTTAGCAGATCGGAAACACTAGTGAGCAACGTTAATTAACAAAATGTCTCAAGGTGGCGCTGTAAATGACGCCATATAACTAACTAACTACTCATATGAATGAATATCACTAATGTTGCTGATGGTTCGTTCTACTCTCTGTACAGCTAGAATTGTTGATTTTACTATTTTTCCAACAACTTAAAAATTATTCGTTAAATTCAGGAGCTTATTCTATTTCTTACTCATGTTTTCTCATCTTATTATATTCTTATATTATTAAACCATATTATATTCTATTATAGTATTATATTTATAATCATTTTATTACTTTTGATAATTTTTTTATAAAACAAACAAGTGCATGAGCAAGGAGGATTTCACTTAGAATGTTTGAATGGTGGTTGTGCCAAAACTTACTTAACGCACGCCATGCACTGCTTGTCTACACCTATTCATCAGCCACATCATTGTCACCCTAAAATATAACATTGTTCTCATTTTTCATTTGATATTTGTTATACAAAGTTATGTTGAATGTTTTGCTTAATTTTTTAATAAAAATTTGTACCACACGTACCCAGGATGTGAATATCAAATAGGTAGATTGATATCTTAAAGTTATAGTGCATGATATCAACTGATTAATGTTGAATTTTTTTAATCCATACAACTCCCGATGTTAATAATAAATAATGATGTCAATACTTGTAATAATAATAATGCTGATGAATCGGTTGTTGGTGCATCGCAGGACATGGTCTGCTTGCTGGCCAGTGCATCGTACGCATCGTACCACGACGACTGCATCATAGACTGCCTCTCCAGCATCACTTGCATGGACCATCTGGTTGGCAGCTCATTCAACGACTTTCCAAGGTGCCTCGTTGTTTTTTTAAAATTTCTCAATTCACTTCAGATGTTTGATTTATTGTAAGCAGCAATGAGAAGCAACGCATTAAGCATGTGTACGTTTAATAAATGAATATATATATATATATATATATATTATATATATATATATATATATATATATATATATATATATATATATATATATATATATATTAGACTGTTTCAAAAAAAAAAATTTTTAAAAAGACAATGCATAGGGGCTTATATGGTGTGGTTTTATATTTGTATCATCCTGTAAAAATTTCAATTAAAAAGGATAAGTATTAGTGTAGAAAAACTGATAGCTATACCAAAGGTTGGCGGTACTGGCATAAACATAGGAACCACAATAGTTCAGTTACTTCAGAATTGGGAAGGCGTGTCAAATTAGTTGGCTGGTTTGTGTTTTGACACAACAAGTTCTAATACTGGCATTCATACTGGTGCTATAACAATAATTTAGAAATCCTTTAATAAGCATCTCTTGTTTTTAGCATGCAGGCATCATATTCTTAAAATTATTGGAACAGCTTTATTTGATTTATTTTTCACTTCATCTGGCCCTCAAATTGCTATTTTTAGTAGATTTGAAGATCAATGGCCATCAATTAATCAGTTAAAATATGCATCGATTGGCAAGGTAACAACTGGTTGTTCTTTGACTAATGATGAAAATTTGTGGCTTAAGCAAAATCGTGTAGCTATGATTGATTTTCT